ATGGATGAGGCAAAACTTATTGAAAGCAATTGGAAAAAGGGGAGAGAGAAAGGAGAAAAGAACTCTAACATATCCAGTGTTGTTGTGAGATCTGTCGCTCATAAGTGCAGTAGCTCTGTGTGTGTGAGTGCGTGCGTGTGTGCGGTGAGGAGAGAGCGCCTCGCAGGTAGAGGGGACAGAGCGAGAGAAAAAAGAGCGAGGTGTATGTAAAGATAAGCGCATTAACATTAAAATAAATGGTAGATTTACGATCAGGAAACAAATACTTATAACCAAGGACTACAGCATATATCAATACATGTTTAATAATGCGGTAAATATATTATTCCATTGTATTTTCAATGGAAAACGGACCAGACACGCGTCGACGGACGGAACAAATAGGATTGTTTCTATTTCGTCCGTCCGCGTCCATTGCACCCTCCATGGACGGAATCCGTCCGACGGATGTAGGAGGCAGTGGAGCCACTTCCATTCACCCTCATGAGATAACGGAGACGGAGATGAAACGGACATGTTTGTCCGGACAGTTAATCCAACTTAGTTGAGCAAAGTCCAGAGACCATTCGCGTGAGTCCAGCTCACGGGCACAAACACTTGTAGGAATGTCGACACTAATTACAAACCCGTCGTAGGAGAAATCACCAAGTCTTTGGAAAGATGGTCAGCCATACCATTAACACTGATGGGTAAAATCAATATTTTAAAAATGAATAGTCTTCCAAAACTATTGTATTTGTTTCAAAATCTACCCCTACCGCCACCAAGCAACTTGTTCACATGTCTAAACAAAAAATTAACAAGTACTTATGGAACAAAAAACGAGCTAGACTATGGCTGTCACTGCTATACCTCCCATATGAAAGAGGAGGCTTAAAGTGCCCAAATTTGTTGTGGTACTACTGGGCAGCACAATTACGGAATATGATGTTTTACTTTACTGAAGACAACGCCCCCTTGTGGAAACAAATGGAGGAACAAGAGTTGAATCTGCCCTTTCCTATTTACCTGTACTCGGCAGAAGAAAAACGGTTGAGAAAAAAAAACCAGAAATCCGATTGTTAAAAACATGATTGCAACTTGGAATCAAGTAAGGAATCAAGTGGAGGAATCAAAAGAATCCTCCACTAAAAGGCTAGAGGGCTGGAAAAAAGATCTGAAGGAGGATTTTTCAGTTGAAGATTGGAAGTTATTATGCACCAGATCACAATCAATCACTATTAATATAAATCTGAGAATGATACAATATAAATGGATAATGAGAACCTACATAACACCTGTTAAACTAAATAGAGACAACAAAGACATATCAGATTTATGTGCAAAGTGTGGTACTAAAGATACACTGCTCCACTGCCTGTGGAAATGCAGGCAGATTAAAACATTCTGGGAAAAAACCAGGACGTAATAGCAATCTCTATAGAGCTAGACCCAAAACTTTAGATACTTGCAAAATTACCACAAAATAACAAATGGAGTTTAAAGTAATTTTAAAAAATAGAATTATGTTTGGTTCTGGCAAAGAGAGTGATCGTCAGGCATTGGAAAGATTCCTCTGGTCCGAGTACAGGTGAATTCATAAAGGAACTGATAACTACATTACCACTTGAAAGAATTACATATACAATTAGAAATAAGTTGCAACTTTTTCATGAAATTTGGGGACCTTTTTTGCACTACTTAGAAAGGCCAGATTCAACGTTGTTCTAGGTATACAGAACATGGAGCAAAGTGCACAGTGGCGGAAGTATAGGGGGAGAAGGGGAAAAGAAAACATAAGAAGTTCCATCCCTTTATTCTTTATTTTATAAATTCAACTGTATGTATCTAACAGTATACCTATTCACTATATGTGACTGATCTATGGACTAGGAGGTCTATGAATGTAAACAGATACACTTTACATACAGTTATGTATGAAGGTGTGGGCACATGACAATGTTATTGTTTTCTTTATTTATTTACTTATCTATGTACTTAATTATTATGATTATTTTATTTATTTATTATTATTATATATTTTTTGTATTATATATATTTCTTACTCCCCCCTGGACTGCCACCTTAACGTGGTGGGGGAGTTTGAGTACTCGGATGATCCTGGGAGCTATGCTGTCTGGGGCTTCATGCCCCTGGTAGGGCCTCCCATGGCAGACAGGTCTCAGGTGACGAGTCAGACAAAGAGTAGTCTAGAAGACACCATGGACAACACTAATATGAAAACAGTGACGTCGCCCGGCATGGCGCAGCCGGGGCCCCACCCTGGAGCCAGGCCTGGGGTCGGGGCCCGTATGCGAGCGCCTGGTGGCCGGGCCTTAGCCCACGGGGCCCGGCCGGGCTCAGCCCGAAGGGATGACGTGGGCAGTCCCTCCTGTGGGCCCACCACCTGCAGAGGGGTCCGTGGTGAAGTGGTGCTGAGAGGACTGGGCGGCAGTCAAAGGCGGCGACCTCGGCGACCCAGTCCGCACACACAACATCTGGCTCTTGGGACGTGGAACGTCACCTCACTGGGGGGGAAGGAGCCCGAGCTCGTGGGGGAGGTTGAGCGATACCGACTAGAGATAGTCGGCCTCACCTCCACACACAGCTTGGGCTCTGGAACCCAACTCCTTGAGAGGGGTTGGACGCTCCACTTTTCTGGAGTTTCCCGCGGGGAGAGGCGGCAAGCTGGGGTGGCCATTCTCATTGCCCCCCATCTCAGCCGCCACGTGTTGGAGTTCTCCCCGGTGAATGAGAGGGTCGCGTCCCTCCGCCTTCGGGTGGGGGACAAGTCTCTCACTGTTGTGACGGCCTACGGGCCTAACAGCAGTGCAGAGTACCCGGCCTTCTTGGAGTCCTTGGGAGGGGTACTGGACGGTGCACCGCCCGGGGACTCCGTTATTCTCCTGGGGGACTTCAACGCCCATGTGGGAAACGCCAGTGACACTGGGAGAGGGGTGATCGGGAAAAACGGCCCCCCTGATCTGAACCCGAGCGGTGCTCAGTTGTTGGACTTCTGTGCCAGTCACGGTTTGTCCATCACGAGCACCATGTTCGAGCACAAGGGTGTCCACCAGTGCACGTGGCACCAGGACACCCTAGGCCGGAGGTCGATGATCGACTTTGTTGTCGTATCATCTGACCTTCGACCGCGTGTCTCGGACACTCGGGTAAAGAGAGGGGCGGAGCTGTCAACCGATCATCACCTGGTCGTGAGTTGGATCCGCTGGCAGGGGAAGAAGCCGGTCAGACCTGGGAGACCCAAGCGTATAGTGAGGGTCTGCTGGGAACGTCTCGCTGAGCCCCCTGTCAGACGGACTTTCAACTCACACCTCCGGGAGAGTTTCTCCCAGGTCCCGGCGGAGGAGGGGGACATGGAGTCCGAGTGGACCATGTTCTCTGCCTCAATCGCCGATGCGGCGGCTCGTAGCTGTGGTCGCAAGGTCTCTGGTGCTGGTCCCGGCGGCAACCCCCGAACCCGGTGGTGGACACCGGCAGTAAGGGATGCTGTCAGGCTGAAGAAGGAGTCCTATCGAGCCATGATGGTTCGGGGGACTCCTGAGGCAGCTGTCCAGTACCGGCAGGCCAAGCGTGCCGCGGCCCGGGCTGTTGCAGAGGCAAAAATCCGGGACTGGGAGGAGTTCGGAGAGTCCATGGAGCATGACTATCGGTCGGCCTCGAAGAGATTCTGGCAAACCATCCGGCGCCTCAGGAGGGGGAAGCAGTTCTTTGCCAACACCATGTACGGCGCGGGTGGAGAGCTGCTGACCTCGACTGGGGATATTGTCGGGCGGTGGAAGGAATACTTTGAGGTTCTCCTCAATCCCCCCGTCACGTCCTCTGTTACAGAGGCAGAGGCTGAGGATGTTGGGGCGGGTACATCCATCTCCCTGGCTGAGGTCACCAAGGTGGTTGGTAGCCTCCATGGTGGCAAGGCTCCGGGTGTGGATGAGATTCGCCCTGATTATCTAAAGTCTCTGGATGTTGTAGGACTGTCTTGGCTGACACGTCTCTGCAACATCGCGTGGCGATCGGGGGCAGTGCCAATGAAGTGGCAGACCGGGGTGGTGGTCCCTCTCTACAAGAAGGGGGACCGGAGGGTGTGTTCCAATTTTCGTGGGATCACACTCCTCAGCCTCCCCGGTAAGGTCTACTCCAAGGTACTGGAGAGGAGGTTACGGCCGATGGTCGAATCTCGGATCCAGGAGGAGCAGTGTGGTTTTCGTCCCGGTCGCGGAACACTGGACCAGCTCTATACTCTCCATCGGATACTCGAGGGTTCATGGGAGTTCGCCCAACCTGTCCACATGTGCTTTGTGGATTTGGAGAAGGCGTTCGACTGTGTTCCCCGGGGTGTCCTTTGGGGGGTTCTCCGGGAGTACGGGGTCGGAGGTCCTCTGCTGAGGGCCATCCGATCCCTGTATGACCAGAGCCAGAGCTGTGTTCGCATTGCCGGCAGTAAGTCAGACCTGTTCCCGGTGAATGTTGGCCTCCGACAGGGCTGCCCTTTGTCACCGGTTCTGTTCACTGTATTTATGGACAGAATATCTAGGCGCAGCCAGGGGTCGGCGGGGGTCCGGTTCGGAGACCACAGGATTTCATCTCTGCTGTTTGCGGACGATGTTGTCCTGTTGGCTCCAACGAACCAGGACCTGCAGCATGCACTGGGACGGTTTGCAGCCGAGTGTGAAGCGGCTGGGATGAGAATCAGCACCTCCAAATCCGAGGCCATGGTGCTCAACCGGAAAAAGGTGCCTTGCCCTCTGCAGGTGGGTGGAGAGGTCCTTCCTCAAGTGGAGGAGTTCACGAGTGAGGGAAGAATGGAGCGTGAGATTGACAGGCGGATCGGTGCAGCGTGCGCAGTTATGCGGTCGCTGTATCGGACCGTTGTGGTGAAGAGGGAGCTGAGCCGAAAGGCAAAGCTCTCGATTTACCGGTCAATCTTCGTTCCCTGCCTCACCTATGGTCATGAGCTTTGGGTAATGACCGAAAGAACGAGATCGCGGATACAAGCGGTCGAAATGAGCTTCCTCCGCAGAGTGGCTGGGCGCTCCCTTAGAGATAGGGTGAGGAGCTCAGTCACACGGGAGGAGCTCGGAGTAGAACCGCTGCTTCTCCACGTCGAGAGGAACCAGTTGAGGTGGCTCGGGCATCTGTTCCGGATGCCTCCTGGACGCCTCCCTGGGGAGGTGTTCCGGGCACGTCCCACCGGGAGGAGGCCCCGCGGAAGACCCAGGACACGCTGGAGGGACTATGTCTCTCAGCTGGCCTGGGAACGCCTTGGGGTCCCCCCGGACGAGCTGGAGGAAGTGTGTGTGGATAGGGAAGTCTGGGCGTCTCTGCTTAGACTGCTGCCCCCGCGACCCGGCAACGGATAAAGCGGAAGAAAATGGATGGATGGATGGATATTTCTTATGTATATGGATGTATGTATATATATATATATAATATATATATATAATGTTTGTGTGTATGATGTGTATATGTGTATGTATGTATATGTGTATATATATATATATATATATATATATATATATATATATATATATATATATAATATAATTGTTATTTTTTGTGTGAGGGAGGGGGTGGGTTAAGGGGGGATGGGAGGGAGGGTTTGGGATAATTGGTATTTTATTTTATTTTTCTTCCTTTTTGTTTAATATGTTATGAGACAAACAAAAATATCAAATAAATACAATTTAAAAAAAAAATCTTTTTCTGTGGCATGTACAGTTGTGGCCAGTGGAGCTGATGGAGTCTCTATTTTGCTAAAATGTAATTATCTAACGGGAGTCGTTTTTTCAGGAAACATGTGCGAAATGAAATTTGTACAATGGTGTGGTTTTAAAAAAGAAACACATATTGATATCTGCAAATATCGTTCATCGGCAATAACAAAAACATTAATATCGGATATCAATAACGGCCAAAATGTTTATACTGGTGCATCCCTACTCAAAAGAAATACGACTTCAGCTAGTCAACAGTACTGAGTCACTCTGACATGTGTGTGTACAGGAGGAATTTAGCCATCCTGTTGAAAGTCTGGCCCTGACTGTGGATGAGGTCATCAACGTGCGCCGTGTGCTTGTCAAGGCCGAGATGGAAAAGTATCTTCAGAGCAAGGAACTGTACAACAACTTGAAGAGAGGCAAAGTAACTGCACAGGGTCACATCCTTGTAGACATGGGTGCAGAGTGTTCTAGGATTGTAGGTCCACTGATATGGGCTTTCTGTAGCCGATGCAACAAATTATCATTGAGGGGGAAATGCTAATGCACTGGCTAGTGTTATTTGTGGATAGAGTTATACCACTGAAACAAAAGGCTCATCTTTGGCATCTGTTGCTATTTTAGCATATACTGTATACTTACTTTATTGAGAGTGGTTCCACAGAGTATTACCTCATGTTGAATGGTCACTAAAAACAAAATATCTTTTTGTTTTAATTTCATAGTTGTCTTACTTAGTTGTAGTCTTTCCAGAAAACAAATGAAAGTAACATTTGTGGCAACAATGTGCAAAAGTTCCCTATTTTAATGATCATTAATATTTTATGTTTTAGAATGGAGATTAACAGCCTTGTTTAATTAATATGCTGAGTTATTATAACACAACTTGTGACCAAAATAATCCAGCATTATTTGTGTTTAGTTGCAGTAAAGAAACAGAGTTGCTCTATGCGAGAGGTGTGGTTCAAAGATGTTCATTGTGTTTGTCAGGTGTGCTGCTGTTGTCGAGTGCGCTTCCCTCTGCTCTCATGGCCCTCCTGCTGCCTGTTCTGCAAGAGGTAACCACCACTGTGTGCACTTATGAAACCCACTTAAAGCTGCACTAACTGACTTTGGGATTTTGAAGCCGCGGACTCGCTGGCCTCGCTCTTTCTACTCCCCTCCCCGCACCCACGAAGCTATCGCCCCCCACACACACTCACTGTTGGGACGGAGCTAGTGTCTCCCAATATGGATAATACATGAATATGGATTTGCACGTGGATGGCGTGACCATAAAACGATAGAACCGGGAAGCGCGGAGGAATGGGACTTTCTTTTGGATGGCTGTTTCGCTAAGTAAGCAGTAGCTTCAGGTTAGCTCCTCGGCTTGTTGTGCTAACTCAGCTGTCTATGCTAACGGACCTGTAGATTTCTCACGAAAGTGGGGGCCAGTGGTCCGTTGTGATTGGTCACAATCTGCGACCCGAAACACATTCTCTTCCTTGTTTTATCAAAACTCGATCTAAAATATAATGTCACGCCAGCACAAATCTGCGCTAATTATTCTTCAAAAGGACGTATATCCCAATGCACTACATGGACATGGATAGCATTTTCGTAATGAATATGAAAATAAAGTCAGTTAGTGCAGCTTTAAGTTCAATGTTTTCTTGTATCGCCCTAAATCACAACATTAGTTATCACGGAGGACTTTACAAACCGTTGAATTCTCAAACACAGATCAGAGAATCAAACTTTTCAAACACAGGAAGTGCAATGATGGAAATAGATAGAATAACATGTGCCCTCTCTGCCCCCAGGTCCGTGTGCAGTGCCTGTAGTGCCAAGGTGAGAACCTTTATGATGACCTGACCAGACCATAGTTCAAACACTGTAAGAGAGTCCATTCTATACACTGCACTAGACTTTATAAAAGCCACATTTACACCACTGATGACCAACATGCTCCTGAGCAGCCTGGTGTCAGATGGCGAGGTGGGCCAAACCCTCCATCATTTAAGAAAAAGAAGAACCTTTTGGGCTTTTTGCAAGTTTTAATAATCATGTGTATATATATATATATATATATATATATATATTAGGGCTGGGCGATTAATCGATTTTAATCATTAATTCGAGTTTTACGTTTAGGGCGATTTCTTTTTTTTTAAATTCGATTTTTATTTTCTCCAGCGCAGAACTACAGCGCTAACTTTATGTAATCGCCAGAACACACACACACACGCACGCAGGCTCCGGTCGCTATGTTCGTACGCCAATGCGCACAATGTGGGAGTCACTGAAGTTAGTATTAGCGCCACCAGCTGGACCGAGCGTTGTACTACAGCACAGTTACTCAGGCACAGTTGAAAGAACAAGCATGAAAACCCGAGGAGGCTTTTGGAAAAGACTGTCTGCTACAACATTTCTATTTTGAGTAATCAGTTTTAAAAATGTGATATTTCATGTAAATAATGCATGTGTTTAATAGGATTGATATATTTGCGATGGGCCTTGTTTGTGTGATTTAAGTTATTTTGAAGGTGCATAGTGTCATTGTAAGTGAAGTTATTATAAAACTGTTAAGCTACATTTTCACTGTTTACAATGGCAGAGCCATCTCGTTTACAAGCATGTTTTAAGGCTTAATTCCTGTTACACTTATGCTCCATGGGGATTTAGATTAAACTGCATAAAGGAAAATCTATTTCTTTGTCAGTTGTAGTTTGTTTTTAAATAGAAAAAAATAAATCGATTAAAATCGAAAATCGGATTTGGTGTGTGTTATGGGAATTCTGATGCTTCAAATGAAATAATTCCGAGAGGAAACAAACTTGTCCTTTTGTGCAGTTTATTTACAGAAGTGATGAGTACAAAAATGACATTTCTGCGCAGAAAGGAGCCAGACAGAAACGGGACCTGGACCGATGCCGTGTCTGTCTGTTTCCCCAACAAGCGTGTCTATGATCTTATACTGGAGGTGTGTCAGACAGAACAATGAGCATTCGTCACAAGAGAGATGAGTCATACGCGGCTGCAGACGGGAAAGTTTGGGAGATACATTAAGCCCACCGAAAGGACCTTCGAATTTGATAAGAAGGAACACGCTGTGAGTACATTTGAGATAATGCACCTGCAGATGGTGACCAAGGCTATCGCTGAACAAGAGGCCCTTTGTGCTAATGTTTCAAACAGTGATGGGAAGCAGTTTCAGACGCTGGGAAACAAGACGCATGTATCGACCTAAATGATTAGAATATCTTGTGCCGGGAGCTGACCATAACAATCCACCCTTTGATTATCTTAAATCAATCACACACATGCTATCAAGTACTAAAAATATAAGTAAAATATAAGTAAAATATAAGTAAAATATAAGAAACCCCGGAACATCAAAACTTTCACACCTAGTAGGTTTAAGAAAATCCGTCATAAAATGGGTTAGACATACAAACCAATTTACTCAAAATCATCAAGTAACATCTCACTAAATGGATCACTGTCCTCATCAAGACAGTCAACATGCAGGTTAAGAGAAGTGTGTTGAACGAGTGTCGACGAGATCATACGTCGGATCAATGAACGGATCAAAGGAATGACACAACATGACAGCACTATTAGCAGTACTAATATTACTCCAAGTCCAGTACCTATTTGAACCAACCACGCTCGCCAGTCTGAAAACCATGAAGCATCTAGAACAAAATCACGGCTAACCGCATCGCGCAAAGTGGTTAGATTTCGAATACCCTGTGCAATGATCCCATCATCGGCACTGTTATCAGGAATATAAGTACAACAAGCGGTCTGATTAAGTAAAAAACAAACACCTCCACTTGAGGCAACCAAATGGTCCAAAACAATCCTGTTTTGTAAAGCAACGGCACGCAACGCATTTACTTCTACTCTGTTGGCCTCTAGAATAGTTACAGTTGAATTCACAAAACTTGAAAACCGATAATTCAAGGTTTCCATTCTAAGCATAACCTTCCCTATACCGACCTGGGGGAACAAGGAGAGAAGTACTTTTGTTGGCTTGGTCCACAGTTTGTGATCATCTGGAACGTCCGTCCCCCAAACTGCATCATGAGCAGAAAAATCGCGCTTACCTCGCGATCTAGGAATGGTAGAGATGATGTAAGAGTGATCTGAAGCTATCATCAGAGCACCACGACCTATCCAATTAAATGGTAGCTTCACATAGACATTGAAGCCACACAGCCACAAAACACCCTTCAGAGGATTAGTCCCTGTTGAGTCAGGAACCGTGAAGTATGGAGCACATGTACTACCCGGAGCGGCCTGAGAAGTGTTTAAACTTGAATTACCATGAAAAGAAGTGCACGGGTTAGACACATTTAAACAAAATGACATAGGGATCCGTCCCATCTGTATAGGAGAATCTGTAATGGTCATGGATAGAGTGTAACATACAAATTTAGTACCAGGTCTGATATGTACCGGGCCAAAAATTGGATCTAATTCATCATTAAACCAATAATTGAAGAAATCAGAACTAACAGCCGGTTTGAGTGGGGGGAGACATTTACCTGTACGCTTTGTGACGGTCTCATTGAAATAATCAACAGAGACAGATGAATACAGAATCTTTGGAAAATGTGTAAATGCATCGACCATTGGTAGAGGTGTGATTTGTGGGTTTGATGACGCAATAGGCATATGAGTACAAATGTAGCAATTTGAGCGATTTTGTGACTCTGCTAAGAATTTTGCATATTGATACCAAAAATTAAGTGTGTATACACTGGTGTGATTTATTGACTGAGCCAAAACACGTGACCACGCAGAATCCATCTCGGCCACATCTTCCCTCTTCACACGTTTTGATGTAAATGAAGAGGTGTTAGAAGTGTAATTGACAACGACCTGTGTTTGATTGTTCTTTTTATTCTCCCGACCTTCAAACCATAACAGTGGAAACACAATGAGGAAGGAAATGAACATGAGCACACACAAAGTCTTTCTCATCCCGCAAAGGCCCTGCTGCCTGAATGGATGCCAGGGACCGTGCTCCCGGCCGTGGCGCATCATGGACTTGGATTGTCACTTGTTGATCTTCTTGTGTTACCTATCTTCTGCTCATCTATGACCTAGGAGTGTAGTTACCAGCACTTTTCTCCTGATGCAGCTAACAATGTATTTCTAACAATGTTTTACGTTGGGAGGGGGGTAGTGTGTGTGTGACCCTCCTTTCGCGTTGGGAGGGGGTAAGATCCTCCTTATGCTTCCGTTGTACGCTCCGCAAGAAGAGCTGGGACTTGTTTGCAGTGCGATGCGTGGACCCAGGTCTGCCTCTCCTGGACTTTCACAGCGATGTGAGTGACGAGGAGAACTTGGAATGGGCCAAGCCAGCGGTGGTGATTCCAGCTCCTCGGCTTGAAGTTCCTTATCAGGACGAAGTCGCCAGGTTGGATGTTGTGAAGTGGATGGTCCGCACGCTGGGGAAGGGCCGATGACACCTGTCTTCTGATATCAGAAAGAGACTTTGTTAGGGTTATACAATACCTTATCATGCCATCCTCGCACAGGATGGCATCTGGTTGAGGTCCCGCAGGTCCCATTCCTACATTGGGGGGAGCTGCAAACAAAATCTCAAATGGGGACAGGTTGTTACGCGTGCGCACTCTCATTCGCATGTACATCAGGAAATTGGCAAGCATTTTTGGCCAGCTAAGTTTTGTTTCCTGACAGCATTTGGCCAGTTTTGATTTTATTGTGAAATTCTCTCTCTCCACAGCTCCACCAGATTGTGGGTGATAGCTGCAGTGAGTTTTCAAATCAAATTTCAAATAATCAGACAGTTGTTTTATCACTTCATTAACAAAATGCGACCCATTATCGCTGGACAATTTCTGAGGAATTCCCCATTTTACGAGAATTTCAGTTAAGATGGCTTTTGCTACTGCAGCGGAGGACGCATGTTTTGCAGGGAAAGCTTCAACCCACTTTGAAAACATATCCACCATTACAAGACAAAAAATTTTCCCTTCACTGGGTGTTAATTCAATGAAGTCCATCATGACATGTTCAAACGGTCTTGCAGGAGCTGGGTGAGCTGCTTGTGCCAGAGACCTCGGCCTACCCGGGTTATTCTGTGCACAGATCAAACAGCTTCTGCAAAACTCTGCAGCAAACGTAGAAAACCCTTTTGTAAACCAAAATTGTTGGACTGCTTGAAACATATTCCCCTTTGACACATGGTCCAACCCATGTGTTAACCTAGCATAGCAATTAAATAATCTTTTGGGACGGCATGGCTTCAAATCTGGGCCTACCCAGACGCCATTTTGGAAAACTGCACCAGACTCCGCCCACGTGCGCCGCTCTTCAGGGGAAGAGAGTGAGCAGAGGTCCTTCAGAGAGGCGGGAGGGGAAAGAGGAGGGGTCTCTGGGGGGACAGCATGGGGCAGGGAGAAGGAAGCTGATGAGGGAAGAAGCTGTTTAGCAGCAGCTCTCGCAGCTCTGTCCGCCCGAGCATTCCCCAATGAAACAGAGTCCGTTGCACCTGTGTGGGCAGAACATTTACACACTGCAATCTGAGATGGGAGCAAGATAGCTTCCAACAATGCTGCAACATGTGTGTGGTGTAAAATTGGTTTTCCGTCAGATTTTAGAAAGTTTCTATGTTTCCACAGTGCACCAAAATCATGCGTCACTCCAAATGCATAGCGGGAGTCAGTGAATATTGTAACAGACCGTCCCTTTGCGTATGCACACGCCTCTGTCAACGCCACCAGCTCTGCCAATTGTGCCGAGTACATCGATGGAAGAGAGGAAGAAAGAACGACTGAATGGTCGTCCACCACAGCGTATCCAGCATGCGACCT